TTCAGCAATCATCCAAAAGCTCAGGTAGAGTTTAACCGTTTGTTTTATAATTGCTCCCTGACCTCTTCCTCTGCCCTGCTTCACTAACAGGCATTGCCCGTCTCCTCCGCTAACACTTTAGGAACACTCTCTTTACTGACCCCAGTTGCAAAACTCTGCCAAAATCAGCTGGTTATGGTTCGTTCAGCAGGTAATGAAACAGTGACAGCCCAGTGTGTTCTGTTTTGATGTGAACTTCTAGATGACAGTGTGATGTTGCCTAGATGAGACGTTGTGCTCCTAAAGCTGCGTGGCTTAGTTTCCATCCACAGGAAATGATCACAGTAACGAGCACCCTAGCAAGTCCTGACTATAGATGGAGCATGTTCATGTACAAAATGTTTAGCTTTGGAGGTGAAAGCTAAGTAGCACATGCTGCGTTAGCGTTGTGGCAAGGGATTTACCATTAACTCTGTTCGCTCTCTGTGTGAAGGTAGCCTTTGATGTTTGTGTGTTTGTGACAGGTCTCCCAGAGAGTAACATTGTCTCATCCAGAGGTAAGCCCCCTTCTCCTCAACCATCTCCCCCTGCCCCCACCTCCCTCCTACCAAAACTACTACATGGCCCTATTTTTACTTTTCATTCTTTTGTCTCGGACAGAGTTATCCTGCACTGCTCCCAAACCTCATCCACTTTTGTTCTTTTCTTTTGTTTTTGTATTTTTCTGGTGTCCTGTTTTGTTGTTGGTTTTTTTTTTCTCTTGTTGTCATTGTTGTGTATGTTCGGGTGTGGGATGTGTGTGCGTGTTTGTGTGTGTGTGTGTTGTTCTCTCCAGCTGCCTCCGTTGATTACGGTTCCTTTGCAGACAGATGCAGCACCTGGCTAGAGCTGCTTAGGCTGAAAGCTCACACCATAAGACGAGGATCAGTTAAGACAAGTAGGAGGACACAGTCTCTAGCACACTCTGGTGATCATACCCACAAATACAGAACACCGTTTCACAAGCAATTCCACACACAAACACACACACACACGCTCGCTCGCTCGCATACACTCGTACCCCTCCATGCATGCTGCTGGGGGGCGGAGCATTGGAAATCAAGCACCAGCTTTTTAGTTAGAGTGTGAAAGTTAAAGCCCCGCCCCTCAGAGGGACCCACAATCAGCAGCTTGGCTTTGAAATGCCCGTGGTAACCATGGTAACAAATAAATATTATTATAAATATATAAAATTTTTGTTTTGTTTTGTTTTTTTGCATTCAACCTGCTTGTACCTGTCTTGATCTGTAAGGGTTGGATGGATTGCAGTAATTTGATGACAATTACTGATTTTTCTCTGCATTTGCATTCGTGACTTTATTTCAGCTAAGAAGACATGACATGATACTGTAAACATACAAATGTGAGCACATACATTATTGTAGAGATCATGGTGGGGGGGGGGTAATGCTTCTCTGCAAGATCTGGTATGATTTTCAGTCCTGTGCACAGTGAGTGAACTACTCTCTATTGTGTGGCTCTGAAGGTTCCTGCTTTTATGGGTGTAAGCCACATCAGGTAAACTTGCAGTAAGACGACGGAGCATCTTTCACACTCTGGCTCGTGTACATGTGCCCAGCTCAGCTCATAGCTGTCTCTGTCCGTCTCCATTTCTCAAACCTCTTTCACAAATGCAAACAGAGCTAAATATTCTCCCACGTACTTCACTGTACTGCAAAAACTGTACTCACACATGTAAACGTACACAGCTGTGCCCAGGTCTGTCCGTCTGTCTGCAGACACTGTTAACTGTCTTGTCTGTTTGCCTCAATTGCATGACATGCATGGCTGCGCATGGTTTCCACGTGATTGTCTCGGCACCACACAACCACAACACTGCACGTCAAGTCACACATGTACCTGACACTTGCAGACAACTGACTTACTAACCATAAGTAGTACTAATACAAGTTTACACAAGTGTTACTCATGCCTTGTAAATGCTAACAAGGTTGCATTTCTGCACCATCACATTCCACAGTCACATTCCTTTCTCCTTTTAAAATTCATATCTGCATTTCATTTTTCCTCTATTTCTGAGTGTTATCTGGTATCTCCATTCCCTTTTGTCTTTCTCCCCCCTCTCCCTCCTCTTGTTCTCTTTTCTCCCTCTTTTGAATCTCTACCTGCTCTCTCTTAACCTTCAGTCTCGTCTTTGGAGCGCTCCAGTCCGTTGCCTGAGGGACGGTCCCGCTCGCTGCGCTCCAACCGCTCGTTTGGAGGCAGTTCTGTTGCCGTGGTGAAGATGACGCCGCTATCCTTCCTCCCTGGGACACGCATCATTAAATACCTAGGAATCATCAACATGTTTTTTATCAGAGAGACTACATCGTTGCGGGAGGTACGACTGCAAGGACATGCTACATGTGCATACGCCCCAGGATCATGTTTTAAAAAGCGTAGACAGACCAACCAAACAGTGTGTGTTTGTCCTCTGCAGGAAGGCGGGGTCAGTGGCTTCCTCCATTCATTCATAGCAGAGGTGTTTTCAATGGTTCGAGCCCATGTAGCAGCCCTGGGTGGCAATGCACTGGTGTCCTACAGCATGAAAGAGTGTATGTTAATGGAAAATCCAAACAAGAACCAGGTACACACACACACACACATCATTAACACACATTGCAAGTATTTACCTGTTACAGTCCATTTATATATTAAAAGCACAATCAACTCTTCTTGGCATCATCAGAGCTTACAGTGTTCTTATGGTTTAATCTTCCTGTTGATGTTCTTCCTCTAGGCGCAGTGTCTCATTAATGTGAGTGGTGATGCCGTCATCTGTGTCAGGGAAACGGACCAGGAGCCCGTTTCCTCAACGACAAATGTCGGACAGACCTGCACTAGCGGAACAGATGGGGCTACATGACATGAAACACAGAGCCTCACTTTGTCTGCGGGAAACACAATCTGAGTGAACACACTCTCTCTAGCCGAGTCTAGCCGTCCAAATATGAGTAATTTGTGTTATAACTGTAAAAGATCCAAAAGTTTTGGACACAGGTGATAAAGAACAAGTACTCACGCATACTCAAAAAAAAAAAGCAGTCTGTATTAACATAGGGGTACAGGATGCATGTGTTTTTCTATGTTAGAAGAAAGCATTTGTGCGGGAGACACATATGTAGCTCTTTGGGAATTAGGTAATTTGAGAGTGAACTTTTTGGTTAAGAACAATGGCCAACCCCATTTGCATCAAACTTTAACCGTCCATATTGGGGTCACCCAAAGCTGCAGTGCATTGGCTGTCTCTTTGTGTGTGGGCACAAGTGACGCTCCAGGCAGCTATGACAAATTTTGTCCATCCACAGCTCACAGGTGGAGTCATTAAATGGCCATGCCAAAAGGGACAAAGTATACCATCAAATAACTTAAATGCAGTCAGATTCAGGCAAGTATTTACATTTCAACATGGCTGGTGCTCTTCCTCAAAAATAGAAAATTCACCCTGGAATGGGAACAACCCAGTCACACCTGTGATGCCATTTTGCTATAATTATATACTTGTTAATTGGTGTCCAGTTTTAATGACTAAATTATATTTTTTATCGATTTTGTGGGTGAATAATTACTCTCACAGTATTCTTGACAGGAAGTATTCTAAAGATAATCAGATTTTCTTCAGAAAGTGTCAAATGATGTCACAAATTACAGTTTTTATTTCTGAGGAGGCTTCAAGTTACATACACAAATAAAAACAGTCCAGAATTGCAGGCAAATGCACATATTTTTGTAGGGTAAGAATATTTCTTTTTGAACAGCCATTAATGTGTATATGTGTATGACAGGGACTTTTTTATAAAGTAAAACCATTCAATTTGTATTGCTTTATCTTAAAATGGCATAATGTGTATGCCTTTTGTTCATACATCTGAGGTGAGTGGGAAAAGTATAATGTCAAATGAATATAAATTAAACAGACATGCAGTCTAAGTTATATCATGTGGCCCATTGGGGTCTAGCACCAAGGATATTTCATAGGATAAAGTCTTTGAGATCATTTTGACGTAATTAAACCTTTTAGCTGTGTTTATTGAAGCAACTCTTGCTTCATTTGCAGCTTTGTGCTATGTTCCTCTTTTTGATGCTTCTTGCTGTCAGTGTCAAATGTCACATACCTTCAGCACTGCAGCTTTGGCACCCATATTTGAAGAATAGACCTGTTACTGATCTGTTCCACATTGACGTTCATGTTCAGTGCAGGTAAACCATCATCTTTTGTTGTTGCCACCTAAAAATGAACTGTAAATGTTCTCAGATTTTAATATTTTTGTAACATAAAATATAATGAAACCTACTGCTCGTTTTGCCTGTACAATGAATTTCTGATGTTTTAACTCGCTGTCAGATTATTAGTGGTACTCTAATCGATTTATGTGATCAGTTTCCTATAATTGTGTCTAAAACTTGAATGTACATACTTCGATGCTTTTGCTTTCTGACTAGCAGCATGCAGGCACACTTTTTATTGCCATGAATCTGTATGTTCGCCTGGTAAGTCTTGCACAATAAACTCAGTCAAACCAAGATGCATTTGTTTGACCATCATCTTTGATGAAAAGTATGAACAATATTTTTTTTAATAGACAGGAAAACAGGAATTGATCTACTGTAGCCCATCGTTATTCAATCCCAATTTGACGTTACTCCATATTGCTCTGACTCTTCATATACACCGGGGGGCATGTTTTGGGTTTTGTAAATGTACATCATGGATGTATTTACATAGCCTACTGCTTGGAATCACCTGCCTACATTTACCAAGGTATATAATCATAATGACCTCCTTTTGTTGTTTATGTGTAAAGTGTAAAGCGTCTTTGGGTCCCTTGAAAGCCGCTATAACGCTGTCCGCTGAACATTTTAACACTGCACGTTTCATCCGATGTCACGTGAATGCAACATAACATTCAGACTGAACTGCAGCGACATCTTGAGGCCGTTCGGGTGAATTTATCATCAGCCGCTCGCTGCTACGTGTCCCCTCCCTGCGTCCTGTTTCCCGTCTTTCCTCAGGAACAGGCAGCAGTGAAAGGAGTGGATGTCCCGTCCAGCAGCTCGGCTCAGACATGGGGGAAGTCATCCTGCCACGGCGCATGTTCCTCTGGTGCATGGCGGTCATCTATCTGGCTGCTTTTGTTTCCCTCTATGTGCAGATACCAGGTGAGACTCACAACTCTGCTGACTGTGCGGACGCTAGCTCTCCTAACTTACTAGTGGTGTGTTATGTGTTAGCCTGTTAGCTGGTAAAAGTTGGCGCTCTGTTTGTCTTCCTGCGCTTTTCACGCTCTCCTGGAAGTTTCTGTGGGGTGCAGCCAGTCATAAATATTAACGTTACCTGCACCTAGCTCCTAACTTCATGGCCTAACGGCCGCTAAGAGAGACCCTGTTGTAAATACGCACACATGATGAATTGCACTACAGAAACCACAACCCCCCCTGGTTTTGTCAGTTAAGGACGCTTTAACGTTATTTAGTTGCCCAGCAGAAGACGCCGCCCACGCTCAGTGCATTTTCCACAATTAAATTATTGGATTAAATTATTATTGGATTAATTTGAAGCCATACCAAAAAGGTATCTGAAACATTTTAAACAGATTTTTAAACTTGGAATCTGCAATGAATGGATTTTGAAATTAATGATATTCATTTAAACACAAATGCAGAAAATGATACTTTGTTTCACCTGTTGAAACATCACATTACACAGAATCTGAATTACTAATTAATTGAGAAAATAACAAATGCAAATGCTTGCATAACGTGCACCAATGGAGAATCAGTGGTTTGATGTCTATGAAATGTGATTTGTATGCTGTGGCCTTCACAGTCATCTGACTTTCCTGGCATCTTACTAAGACACTTTATGTTTATATCTGTTTTTGCTTCCCATGTTTATGTTTATTTACAGGTCTCTATGGTAATGAGGGGCTGTTACCTGCTCGCAGGCAGCTGCGATACAGTGGTAAGCCTCTCTGGGAACAGCTGCTGTCCTCTCCCACACTACTGTGGCTGGGTCCCAGTCTCGGCTTGGACACACAAACCGCTATGGAGCTACTGTGTCTTATAGGGGCAGCACTGAGCCTCGCCGCCACGCTGGTGGAAGCTCTCCGAGACAGCGTGGTGTATTTCTGCCTCTGGGCCTTGTACCTGTCCATGTACCAGGTGAGTTTACAGTATGGACTGTACCCAGTTTTCTTTCGCAGGCTGCGGTAGTTACTGTCATGGTTTCCCCTCCTCTCACCGGCCATTTTTGTTTCTCGTGTCAGGTGGGCCAGGTTTTTCTCTACTTCCAGTGGTGAGTGATGATTTTTGATTCTTCTGTATTTTAGTTTTTATAATTAACACAACAGTGCTATAAACATCAGCTGGCTAAAGGATCCCAAGATGGTTTTGACAGTTTGCTGATAGGCTTCTTCAGTTCACTGTTTGTAACATCATAGTAATGTTTGTCTCCGCTGCTGTGCAACAACACTGTTGACCTCACTAAACTACCAAGACATCCCTCTCTGTTTGTCTCTTACTTGCCATTCTTTCCTTTTTTCCTGTTTCTCTTTCAACTTATTACTGTCCAGGGACAACTTGCTTCTAGAGACAGGGTTCCTCTGTATCCTTGTTGCTCCACTGACATTAATCAGAGGGTCGCAAAGGGTCAGACAGCATGATGGCATGACCTTCTGGCTTATCCGCTGGTTGCTCTTCAGACTCATGTTTGCCTCTGGTGTGGTGAAACTCACGTCGCGTTGTCCCACATGGTGGGGCCTTACAGGTGTGTATGAGTGTCCATATGAAGGATGTTTTTGTGTCCTTTTATTCTGTCTCCACATTACAAGAGAATGTGAGCTATATTTTGCACCAGTTTGGAAGTAAGGGTGCAAACTGGTAGCAGATGTGTTTTAATACATACAAAATTAAAGTGTGTGTGTTTGTTTGTTGAGGGTTTAAATCCCTGAAGAAACCTGAAAACTGCAGTTTATCTCTTGTGAATTCTCAGGCACTGTAACTGTCAGTGAACTATCACGATCTCATCTGTTTTTCTTGTTTCATTTGATTAAATGTCTTTTTTCCGCTGTGTTGAACAGCTCTGACATATCACTACGAGACTCAGTGTATCCCCACCTCGCTGGCCTGGTTTGCCCACCAGTTGCCAGTGTGGTGGCACAAACTAAGTGTGGTGGGGACGTTTGTTATAGAGATCGCAGTACCTCTCCTTTTCTTCAGCCCACTGCGCAGACTCAGGCTTGGGGCTTTTTACCTGCAGGTGGGTGGAACTTCAAGTGCTTTGTAATGTTTCTAAATTTGTTTTCTCTTTTTACCTTTGGTCAGTTACTGGGTGGTGTTTTGTGTTAACTTTGAATTTTAGCAATCAGCTTTCAGTTCATTTATGTTTTTTTAATTAACATCAGAGTTGTACAGTCGTTAATTCTTAGAAGTTGCACTGCTAAATTTCCCCACAAACCAGCTCTGAAATCTCAATCAGCAAGGGTTTGCATGTAAGAATAATTTTTAGTAAAAAATTCAAAATTTCGCCCCTCTAAAATAGCTGCCTGGTTTTGTGAAGCAGAAGAAAAGATTGTTTTTTTTCTTGTGTAGGTGTTGCTTCAAGTGCTCATAATTTTATCTGGAAACTACAATTTCTTCAACCTGTTGACCTTGACCCTCTGTACGTCTCTTCTGGATGACCAGCATGTACACTTCTGGCTACGCAAAGCAGACAAAATCAGCAACAATGGTATGATAAACATAACTGCTATACATATGCAGGCTACACACATTTGTAAAATCTATAAGGTAAGGTTAAATCAGTGTATAGCATCACTATTCCCAGGTCTTAAAGTTTAAGATGTGCTTAAATAATGAAGTATGCATGTAATCAGGGCTTGACATTACACCGCCAAATGCGGGTGGATTTCATCTGTGGCGGGTAACACAGTCACTCCCACTAACCACTTTGGTTGTTTCAAAAGGCATTGAAATAACAAATGAATTGCAATTTGACACTACAACTCCCATGAGTACTACCTGCACATAGTGTTAGCTCATAGGTCCATTCGTGAAGCCTCTCTTGACCGACAACACAGTAAACAGGAAGACGCTGTGGAGATTAAACTCGCGGACTGGCTGTCGGACCGAGGAGAATATAAAAGTTGATATGGAACAAGGCAGCCACAGTCCCTTAGACCTGTAGACTGTCAACATCCTTCCTGCTTTTAACCTGATTGTATGATCTCTGTCATCACACGCAACTGGTCGCATGAACACAAACATCAAGACATCGTTGAGTCAGTGCGTGAGTGTGCGTGGCCAAGCAGTGTGGAGAAGAAATGCACAGGAGAATGAGAGAAAGAGAAAGGGCAGAGCTGAGACAGAGAAAAGGCAGGAGGAAAGTGCTGTTAAATGCTGTAAAATTACAGATATCATTCATGATTTAGGGACATGGTGTTACTACTAGGGCTGCCCTTATGTCACATAATTTTGTCCTATCACATATACCTTTCCGGAGTTAATTCTATAGTTAATTCTAGATGCAAAACAAACAATCCAAAAGTGCCCCTAACTGATATAGGCCTACAGAATTTTTTTATCCTGTTGCCTTAATTGTGTGTTTTTTCTGAGACAAAATAATTTTCTTGCTCTTTGTTTATAATGCAAAGTTAAGCCCTGCATGTAATAGTACAGATCCAAATGTGAGTATTAATTTTGCTTAGCTATAAGCTCAGTGTGGTTTCACAGACGTTATTTTTCTCAAATACTGTCATTAGCGTGCTTCAGCATATTAAATACCCACCACCACCAACAAAATAAGTAAACACACCGCGATTGGGAAGGTTTTCCATTTTTACACCTACAGAGGGACACACATTGAAAGCTTGAAATTGAACCTGACTTGTTGCCATAGCTTTCTTACCAGAGTATCATCTCTCTCTGTCTCTCTCTCTGTCTCTCTGTTTCTCTCTGTCTCTCTGTCCTGGTCAGACTCCAAGCTGTTTTCGTGGCTGTGTTACCTGCTGGAGCTGGCAGTCTGGGCTCTCTTGATCTTCGGATCAATTGTATGCTTTGACCTGCAGCTGGATACAGCAAAGAACAGCATCTCCACCAGGACAGGTGTGTGTGTATGCGCGTGTATGCATGTATGTGAATAGAAACTATTTAGTTTAATGGGGTTTCATAGTTTACATTTTTGTCTTTGCAGCATTCACATACCACCAGTTTAATCAGTTTCTGAAGACTGTCACTATCCCCTCTATCTGGATCGGTGTCCTCTCTCTCACATGGGAAATAGTCACAGCCATGTTCAGGTTTGTGTGTGTGTGCTTGATTATGTTGTTTTGTTACATTTTCTGTATTGCACCTTGGCGAGATCCTGAAAATGTGTCAGTGTGCAGCGGAAGTACAAAAATCACAAATGTAATGTGTTTTTCTAGGTGTGCGTGTGTCTCTGGTTTCCTGAAGAGGTTCTATGTATCTGTCCAGTGGACGGTGTTTGCTGCTGCCACCGCTGCTATGTTCACTATTAGTCTGGTGAGTCCTGTTGGAAACACAGTAATGGTTGAATTTCATATCATGAAGCTAACGGCAGTTAAACCTCATAACTGATCAGCAAAATCTCTTCAAACACTTTTTATGTTGGTGCAAGTCAAAATATCTGTGTGCACCATCCCAGACCATATTTTCCCCTTTTGTCCATTGTAATCATTTATTATTTCTTGTTGCCACAATTACCAATTTAATAATGTTCTCATGTAAGCACTTTCTGACTGTGTTCTTCTGTTCCAGGTGCCATTTACCTACATAGAGTTTGACTCTCATGCCAGTTTGTGGCCCGGAGTACTTAAGGCCCATGAGATGGTGGATCGCTACCAGCTGGTCAACTCATATGGCCTGTTCAGAAGGATGACCGGGGTCAGTGGGCGGCCAGAGGTTGTCATTGAGGGAAGCAACAATGGAGTTGAGTGGACGGTGAGAGAGAAAAACTGTCAAAAATTAGACCACCAGACCACACATCTTTTGTTTTTAGATGTTTTGTTACATAAAGTTTATGAAACCCATGACCAAAATTGTCATAAATTCTCTCTATGTATGGAATTAGAGAGACCCCCTGGAGCCCCCTTAAGGACCACAGGGGGTCCCCGGACCCCACATTGAAAACCACTGCTGTATACGATGCTCCTATTTTAACCTGTAACTTAACAACAATACCATGCAGGCCTTTTCATGATAAATAATTGTGGACACTGACTGTCCTGCTACGCTGTAGTGAGTTAATCATATCATGTTTTTTTTCTCTCTTTTTCTTCTAGGAGATTGAGTTTATGTATAAGCCAGGCAACCTAAGTGCACCGCCGCCTGTGTTGATGCCTCACCAGCCCAGGTTGGACTGGCAAATGTGGTTTGCTGCCCTCGGGGCTCATACACAGGCTCCGTGGTTCACTAGCCTCATGTACAGACTGCTGCAGGGCAAAAGAGATGGTACGCACACTGAGAGTGCTACAGTTGATTTTGTTGTTGTCACTCTTGTATGTCCCTAAAGGACAATTGAACACAGCATCAAATGGGGCAGAAAACTTCTACTGCACTGCATTCTATAGTTTAAATGCTGCACTTCTCGCTAAACACAAGCCGTGATGTCAGAGCAGGTGTTTTGCCATTGTCAGCCTATTGACAAGGCCTCCTGTGACATCGTTAGTTGGGTTGTGATAAGAAATGAATCTAGCCCTGGATCATTGCATCAGCACAGCTGTGCTCACACTTAGGAACAGTTTAAATATCTGTTTCTCACTGTTAGTGCTAAAAGCCTGTATGTGTAGGATTTGGAAACTTGTCTTTGGTGCCCCCCAGTGGTATTATTAAGAAAGAGAACATTTCAGACAATCTCATGCACTGCTGCACAGTCTTTACTTGAGTGATGAAAACACTATCACTCTATTGTTAATGAAGTTTTCCAACGGCAGTTAACATTATCTTTAACTGGGTGTTAGGGTGCGACACAGCACACAGTGCCGTAAATGTTCTCAACCCTATATGATTATGTGTTAAATTGCCATTGAAAAGCATTGTAGCCTTTTTTTTTTTTTTTTAAGAACAAGCAGCTCTCTGAAGGCTTTGTTGTGTGTTCTGCAGTTATAGAGTTGATCCAGACAGATGTATCTCAGTATCCGTTCCACCAGCAGCCGCCTGCCTACCTCAGAGCCCACCGCTACAGATACTGGTTTACTGAACCGAAGGCTGACGGGTCAGTGGTCTCTCTTTCTCCCTCGCCCTCTGTCTCAGTGTGTTTTACATGCACTGAAAAGATCTGATTGTTCATGGCTTTGAAGTAACCTATGTGCTCTGAAAGACGTCACTCAACATGCTTTGGAATGTTACTGCCAAAGTCAGCCTCACTAAACCGCCTCTAACCTGATTTATGTTTCAGCAGTTTTATTGCCATTTTAAAATTATTTTAAATTGAGCGAGTTTACATATGCAAGCTGGCAAGCTTTCCTGTGCAAAGACGCATCCTTAAAACTTTTATCAGAAAAAATCTAAAAGTATATTCTATATTATATGAAAAGCACACAGGATTTGAATATAGTTATGTACTTAGTTCTTTGTTCTTGGCAGTTCTTACCCACAGCGTTGGTGGAGGAGGGTCTATGATGAGGAATTCTATCCCACAGTGCACCTGGGCAACACCTTCTTGGAGAGCATGCTCAACCAATATGGACTCAAGGTAAGTTTATTTTAAAATATGAGAAAGAGATGTTTTTCTCTATTGCCCTTTTTGTCATAAAGCTTTCATGAGAAACTGGAAAACAAGTTTGTTCCAATATTAATCCAATATTGATCATGTTCATCTTTACTTTGTGTGTAGGACAAATCTGCACCCCATCGTATGCCCAACACCACTGTTGCCCAGGCGGTGAGGTGGGTACGCTCTCGGGTCAGAGGGGTTCCTGCCCACATCCTAATCTGGACCCTGATTGTCTGCAGCACCGCCTTCTGTCTGCTCCAGCGATTGCAAAACAGGAAAAAACGCACAACTGTGTGCGATAATACAGAAAATCCACTCGACTGCTCTTCAGACCATTTTGGGAAGTCGAATGAACAGCAGGCTGTGGAGGAGGAAGATGAAGAGGACATGGAAGATGAGGTGGAAGAGGTTGAAGAAGGGGAGAAAGACAAAGAGGAAGAGGAGGAAGACCCGAATGAAAAAGATGAGATTCCCCGAAAGAGATAGTTTTGAAAAAGATGCACATAGTCCCGTAGTAGACTGTTAATCACCACCTGCCTTCATAAAATGTTACTACATTGACCAAAGAAGTCTCTGTATATTTGTATTTTCTGATCAGCCAATTATAGGTTTATCTGCCTTCTCACACCTACACCTTACTGCAGTATATTGTTCATATATCAGCTACAACAGATACCAATTAGTCCATTCAGCACATCTTGCCAGGTGTTTATAGATTTTTAAACCTTCCTGGTTGATTCTGACTTATGTTGAGTATCAAGTCAGCAGATCAAATCATGTTTATTAGAGAGAAATATAGAACTTAAAATATTACGGGTTTTGTTTTGCCCATCAAGAGAGTAAATGTGTGTTGTTCTTGTCACTCTGTCTCCTGTTTTTGGTGTGCAGTGTTGCACTTGTATGTAAATACAGGTGTGCATGTTTTCTTAAGGTATTTTATTTCTGTCACTGTGGTCTCTTGCTGTATGTACAGAACTAAAACTCTGCACTTTTTCTCCTTTTTTCCACAAATGTGTCTTTTGAATCTGTCAGTATTAGAAATGAAACATCATACACATTGGTGTAGTGCTTTTAAAATGTTTTCTTATGACATTAAAATACAAAAGAATATAAATGCTTTTCTGTACATTATGAGAGAGAGAGAGAGAGAGAGAGACTTGAATTCAGTATACATAAGAGATACTGTTACTCAGGTTATATTTGAAGTAGTTAATGTAATCCTCCTCTGTATCAGTTGATTTCTGGCAACACAGTGTTGCTGTTGAGTTCTGTGCCATCTGTTTCACCACTTCAGTATTCCAGGGCAGTACTTGTCGATCAGAGACTGGTAGTACGGCTTCAGCTTGTCTACGTCGGGCAGATCAGTGGTCTTTGTGTACAGGTCAAATTTGCTGTGGAAAGGATGGAAGATCAGGTCAAAGCAGTGAGTAGGACAATACTAGGGAAATATGGAAAGACACTGACTTGAACTCTTGGACCCAGGGCAGCATGCGCAGGTCTTTGTCATTGCACAGGTGCATGTAGTCTCCATGGGAATGCCAGGGGTAGAATGAATGGAAGCGAATCATGTACAACCCCTGAAGACGGACAAAAAGTAGACCCATAACTGAGCCTGTAAGCACTACAGGTGGGGGAAGAAAGAAAATCATTGCACCTTTTCATATACTATGACCATTCAAGACCTTAGCAATGCTTATAACAACTCTCACTCCCATTTGTGTGTCAACTGAAGTTAATGTCCCAAAACATAACTTTTAACAAGTTAATTAATGTTCTTACCTCCTCTGGGATGGGGCAGTTGTTGAACTTCATAACTCTGTAGAGATACTCTGAAGACAAAAATGCCAGAATTCAGGTACAGTATCGTAGTTAAACAGGCACTTCAAGAGCAGTACACATTTTCTTAGGGCCATAAGGGATGACGTCTCTTACCATCATGGCCCCAAGACACGAGGACACTGTCGAGCCCACAGTTTGGTTCATAGATCCCATATTCAGTACTAAAGACAGAAAAATCATCACACAACAGGACAAACTCCCGTTACATCAAACAACTAGCCTGGACAGTAGGTGTTAATAACTGTAGTACTGAAATAAACCAGGAGAGTAGAATATTTTTAAACCCATTGTATTTTGTTCCATTCATTAAAAACTGAGGGATTATGGACTACAGATTTCCAGTGGATAATTTAACTGAATGTTTTGTAAAAGTGAAGGCAAATAATTCTGAAGTGTTTTCACGATGTAGAGGGCAAAAACCCGGCACAGGAAAAAAAAGTTGCAAAAGCGACAATATCTTCAAATACATGTCCTTGAATTAATGAAGCAAAGTATTCAGAACTCTGTGTTTCAGTGTAAATCATTTGGTTGGAATTATAGTACTGAGTGCACTTTTTAGGAGGTGACTGTCGTACATTTCATATTTAAAGTAAACGAGCCAATCAGACCTTCATTAACAGACTGGCAGTGTAGCATGAAAATACCAACTTGTAGCTGGGATTTTTGTCGTCTGGGTTATCCTGGAAGGTATTTTCTCTAAACACAATGGAGTTTTGAAACTTGCAGCCCACTGGGAAGGTGTCGCCTACTACAGCCCACTGCAGAGCACACACATAGATTTCTATTAGAATGAATTAGATCTCTCCATGTATATGAAATTAAGTTAGGGGTTATTGTAACGATAATCCCTTATCAAAACCGAGTTCAATCATGCCTCACAGAAAAAGACAAAAAGAAGGGGTCCGAGAAATAACATTCAGAGTATTCAGCCCATCTCCTACCTGCGGCTCATCCCAAAGAGCCATGGTCTTCCCAACATCATGGATCAGACCCACCAACTGGAACCAGTCTGTGGAGGGACACAGTTATTTAACAGACTTGTGTTTGTACTCAGTCTCTGTTTCTTTCTGCCTGTGAGTTACCTTTGTCTGGGTGTGCTTGGCGGATGCCCTCGGCAGTCTGGAAGGCGTGGAAGGAGTTGGGGAAGTCCACGTCAGGATCGGACTCGTCCACCAGCTGGTCTAGAGACATGACGGCGTCCATCATCCCGATCTGAGTGTGGTTGCAGCCGGTCCATTGAGAGTGCTGCAGAGTCACAGCATTGTAACTTAAAAATACTGCTTTCTGTTTAATTTTCAGGGATAGAGGGATCAGGTTTGTCTGCAAGTAACTTGAAAATAAGTTCATCTGTTATGGAATCGTTTGCTTTATTCAAGTGAGGCCTATCCACTGTATGCTTTTGTGCAAGTAACCAGAAGTGCCCAGTGAACAGCAATAACAGTGGCACTATTCACCAGTCACCACCAGTCTATGGTCACCACTCATATTCTACATGGGACAGCCCCTCTTTTCAATTAACAACATTCTCCAATATCCCCAGGAGCAAAGTGTACGTTTGTACCCTTTGGGAGAAGTGAAAATTAGGTTAGTTAAACAAATTTAGTCCAGACATAATGTCTATTGGCTCTTTGCCTTTTACTTTAGAGGGCTGGATGACATTTGTTTGCTCAGTCTGACAGGATTATGCAGCAATTCAAAGAAACTACAAACTCAGTGTCATTTAGTGCAAGACAAATTACATAAAATGGCCTCACTGGTTTTTGACAAGTTTTCTTCCCCCCTATATCTCGGTAAAGAGGCTTTTGGTAACACTTTGCTGAATTTCTGTGCACTTGCTAATTTTGGCCCTGATTTACACACCTTTTGCTTTACGAAGTCCAGCGTCTGCCTGGTGTGCATCAGCTTGTAAGTGTTGAACACGCGGCCAATTAGACTTCCACTCTGAAACACACACACATGCAACACAACAACAGATTTACAGCATCTCAAGTTTAGAAAATGCTTTCGAGTAACTCCACATGAAATCTTCTATGACAGAAATGTATTTTGTCGGTGACTGCTGCACAATAAAAGGTAATTTTTAGCTACTTACCACTACTAAAACTGCACTACACATTATTAACTGGATTTTAAGATATGGCTTACTATACAATTACAATTATAAGAATGAGGAAATTTGGATGTAAACAAAATATGCACCCCTGTTGATTTAGCAACTTCTGCATTACTTTCAAAAACCTGTGAGAAGCTATGTGTTATTGTTAAGCTAATGTTTTATCTATTGATAGGCTATAAAATGATACTCTGGCTCAGAGAATGTTAATGCACACTTATAAGGTAAGTTAATGCCCCCCTCTAGTGACACAGTGAGTGTGATGAAGGGATTAACAGGAAAAGCTGTGCATGTTTCAGTGTGTGAAACTCAATCACAAGTCTAAAACAGATAGCCTACAGGCTTTGAGTTTGTTTGTTTTTCATGTCTGACATATTATAGACACAGAAACTGTAAAAAAAAAAAAAGGTGTAATGTTGCTGGTATTATTTTACACTGTTTGTTTTGAAACACTTTGCTTTTTAGTGTTTTTACATTTATGGCAGATTGTGTCATTGCATGATTACAACACCTCCATAACTGTAATAACACTGTGTTTCTCACCTCTGAATGAATAGGTGTCATCAGCTGAAGAGGGCTTACCTTGAAGTTTCTGTAGTCTTCCTTCTCTTTGGCTCCATTCTCCTCCAGGTTTGGTCGATAGGCCAGAGATGGATCTGGACCCTACAGTTGAAATAATAGACAGTACAGAAAACATTTTCAGGTTTTACAAAGATGAACCTAACATATATGCATTCAAAGAAATTTACGAGTAGTTTAAATAGATAAATGATAACCGAAGCCACACATACGATGTTGATGACCCTCATGGTTGACAGATAAAGTCTGTGTTGTGGTGTGTCGGTCCTCCAGAACTGACCATACAACCCAGCAGTTTAAACGGTAATGTTTTCGACTGCGCTGTAGGCCTACATATAGTGCACAACAATTTTCAGTCACGTGTTAAACAAACCTCACCTAATGGGGTACCCTCTGTTGAACCTTGGCCTTGTGTATACAAGTTTCTGTGTGTGTCCATCCCAGGAAATTCTCCTCAGTAATCAGCAGGTTACGTGTTTGAACTGATGTAGAACGACTCAGTACTTCTTTTTTCCACAGTTAAGTCATTTATTTTCAAATATATCATACATTATAGAAAGCACATTTTACAGTTTTGTCTTATAGTAGATATGTCATTGATATTGTACCTACACACACACAAATAGAAATTCACACACAAATAAAACAAAACCAAAGCTTTCATGGATACATTTTTATTTCTGGGTATTGCACCCAATACATAACACACACAACAGGATGTGACTGGTGATATCTCAGTATCAAATGTGCTGACTCACGAAAATCTGTGCTGTTTGTTGGACCAGAGATAAAGTTGACCAAATAGTGCAAACAAGCCTCAGTCGTTGACCCAGTACCCACAATCTATTGATTCCTGCCAGTCGCATAGCCACCGGACGCCCTTTGGCATCAGTATCAGCAAGCCACCAGGTGTCCCTCTCGCACACTTTGGACTGAATGTGTGAACTAGAGGAAATTCTTCACAATATCTATAGGCAGGGGTGTCAAACTCATAACAACACCTCCAAATTGTTCCCTTTCTTTTAGTGTAAAGAAGTACAAGTATATGCATACACCCCTGAAAAAGAAACACATTAACTACTTTTGGCCTACAGACCTACTTTACTAAGAGAGGTCAGTGCCTGTTGGACACACGTACACACATCACAACAAATATCTGAATGCGGTGAGTTTCCTGCGTCATTGTGCTGTTTGTTTGTTCTTGTGTGTCGTGTAACATGTCAGAAAGCTTAAACACACGAGCTATCTACCAGGCTGTTAAACACTACTTTTGTGTTTACTCGAATTGATTGGCTCGGCTCATTGCCTCCTTCTGTTAGGTTGGTTAAAGTTAGGGTGGGCTAGGGTTAGACAATCAAAGACATAGACAGAAACACTGAAATTATGTGCCTTTGCTGAGTTTGAAGACTTTAAGTTGCACTTAACGTTCGAATATGAAAAACATCTTGAGGTGTGGAGTTAGAAAGAAGTGTTGCAAGACTTTTGTGGCCTAGTCCTCATCTCTGCATGAAGCTTGCAGCTTAAGGTTATAAGCTTCTACTAGCATAACACATCTGGGTTTGCCGGGGCAATGGGGATTGGACCCAAATGCAGACAGAATGGGCAGACTGGTGTTGTTCAAAGATTTATTGAAGCATATGTGAGCTTACAGGCAGGCAATGAACAGGTAAGAAGGCAGATTAAGGTCAAGGTAACACAAAGCAAACAAAACCACAGAGTTTCCACATAGAAACTAGACAGATGGCAAACAGGATAAACTGACAATTAACAAAGGAAATGAACTGGAATAAATTGTAACCTTCTTGAGTTGTAGGTGAGGAGTGAGCGGAGTAGGCCAGGTAACTCCAAGGCTGATGAGGGAAGTGAAAACAGGTATGTAGATGGGTGTGGACATGTGCCTACCATTATCCAGTGACTATTAAATTGTCCCTAGCAATAATTCTTATCAAAACAATTTTTAAAACACTGTTGTCACAAACGGTTACACACACACCAATGCAGGTTTAAGGGAGAACACAGATATATGTAATTTCATAGTGAACTTGAAATTTCTGTGGCATTGGTTTGAACTTTTCACTTCCCTTATCCTTTACTCTCATGGACCTAAAACGAGGTCACACTCGCACCTAAGACGGCTGTTAGACAGTTAAAATAACACATGAAGGTTTGACTGGAGTTTTATTACACAGTGCTGCTATTGTAAAAACAAAGCATTAGATGAAAGCAACACGGTTGCAAGGGAACACTTGTACCCTAATGGGGTGCTCACATGAACATGAAGATTTAGCTTACAGCAAAATGGTCTCAATCATTTTAAGTTAAATAACACATTTTAAAATTCAAGTCATACTGAATATAAAGAACAATAAAGTGCTTTAATGCTATGTTCTATTAACATTTGACCAGTAAGAACAACTACTGAAACTTCAGTGATGAACTGCCACACACAGAAACGCAGAAGACTATAAAGCTTCAAATAACACTTTAATAGTGCCATAATAATATGCTAGTAGAGGCTTAATTTGGACAGGTAAAAGGCAAAACATATAAGGTTTTACAAATGATTATACCAATTAAGGCTCAAAAACAGACTTTATAGCAACAAAAGTCAAAATGATGCATCATAGCATCATAGATTTACAGTATGCAGGTAAAACAAACTCTGTAGTGTAGTTGTACTCTGTCTGGTTCACATGTTAACAAAGCAAAGACAAGGTACCTGTTAAGAAGCATGAGGACAGTTTATGGATTAGGGTTAGTGGTTATTTTGGCTAACTGCGCACTGTGGGGTTTGTGGGTGAAGGGTTAACTGGGTTTGATTGGAGGTTATTCTTGGTTTCTGTCCAAACTGAAGTAAAGCTACTTGTTTGCAGCAGGAGAAGTAGGTGCATTTGAGGTACAGGAGGATTAGCTCTGAGCTCTGGTAAATTTAGATTAGCAGGCTCATCACTGATGATGATAGTAGACATTAGTCAGGTAGTCTAGTTTGACATGAGCTTCACTGATTCACAGTTTTCCTTGTTTACATACATTGTGTCTAAATTGTTGTTACATAAATGCCAAAACACAGAGGACTCTAGTTTCACTGCAGTAAAGGCTGATAACGCTGTAGCCTTGGTCCACACCGCTGTGAAACTAGAAGCCATAATGTTAAAGAATACAGAAATTCTGCTTTATTAGAACTTCATTTTGAAGTGTTGACCATTGAATCCATATGTTGTCATAACATTGTACTCACCAGATAACTGCTTGGATCAGAGAACATTATCAAATATTCAAACGAGCCTTAATTGCCAGACACAAGCCAGATTATCTAAACCACTTTATTTGGAGGTTAAATGATGTCAATAATAAGTTGAACCAGGAGGTTCTGATACAACCTGCAGAGCAGGTTTACCCTGTTTGGCTAAACTGGGGGTTTCTTTAAAATCTGTCTGACTGCTTGTGTTTCTTGCGTTTCGTCTGACTTTTTAGCAATGTCACCACATTCATAGATCTCGGCAATTTATTTGATGAGTACAATGTTATTATTACCAATGAGAACAAGTTTTAAAAAACCACAATGATCCTTTTTTCTATCAAGCAGCTGAGATCAGATGATACATCAAATATCAACCCTGTCTCCCAGAAATTACCATAGAAAAGTATTTTTCTAATAACACAATGAGAAAAGGTTGTTAATTAACTTATCTGGCAAGTTGCAAAAATATTGAAACTGAACATATCGATAAAATGTTCACTGATGTATTTAATTTGTTTTTCACCTACATGTCCAATATTGCCAGCAGATATTATATAATCCAGCCAGTGATGATGTTTTCATCACAACACAATGGGGAAAACGATTTAGTACTACTACTACTATAAATGTAATTTCTGGGAGACAGGGTGCAAGGACTGATATCAAAGGGCTTATTTTCAGCCCTACTTGTGCCACTGATGCAACAAAGCACGTGTCAATAAAGGCATCTTGGTAAATTCGAGGTGTGGTCTTAGCCGTAGCTGTGAGGACTGCGAGGGTTAATAGGGGAGGAGTCTTCCCTCCCACTCTGTCCAATCAGCTGGTAGAGGCGGTGGCTGAGGTTCTGAACCTGACAGGTGCCTAGGACACACCCTACCCTCATCAGATGTCCGTGGCCCCTTCCACCGCCACTGTTGGCATGGCGACGACCCCGTGACCCACGCTGCCAGACTGGTGTTTCCCGTAGCACACTGTCCCTTTGGTCAAGCAGCTGATCGGACAACCTCGGCAGGGGCTTTTGTGTAGCAGGGCGCTCCAGATGATATGTCTGTCTCCCTGGGTGATGTGGTTGTCAACAGCAACAGAGAGATCAGATGCAGTAGGCATGATGGCGGTGTAAGAAGACTTTGAGTATTTAGAGGTTCTGGGTAAACTCAACCTGAGATACAGAGAAACAGAGAAGGAAATATTAAATGTTTATATGTAATGAAAAATCTGTACAACATACACACACAGACAGACAGACACACACACACACAAAGCCTGTTCACATATGACGCTGGGCAGTCATGCGCATGTTGCCTACTTGGGTTTCTGAGTGAAACTAAATCACTACAACAAGATAAAATGCCTCTCAGGAAGTAGGGCTTCTACTGCAGGACTCAGTCTTCGGTCTCTTCTTTTTTTGAATAAATGAAAGAGAGAAAGAGAGGATTGAAAGAGAAAGTGAGAAGGAGAGATAGACGGAGAGTGGTAAACAGGTGGGAGTTTGCAGCTGGCTACAGCTGCACTATCACTGTATCTTTCAGTGTGTGTGTGTTTGTGTGTGTGTGTGTGTGTGTGTGCGCGTGTGTGCATGTCATTCAGTGTAGTATGCCAGCTTGCATTTCACTTATGATCATGTTGCCTATGTGTGATCTTCTAGTCTATTTGGGGATAAACATATCTACAGAAAGCTGGTGGTGCCACCCAATATGGTGTATTAAGAATTTTAACACTTAGCTGGATCAAAACATTTTCATGAACATCTGATCATATGATGTGAATCTAGCAAAATGAATTCCTTCTGTAGATCTATGTGGTACAAACATTTACATTTACATTTACAAACAGATTTTGCTTGCTGTAATCATTCCACTGGCTCATATTGCCCATTAGAAGATCCCTTCCTATATGCTTTCTCAGTGTAATTGCTGGGGGACAAAATCTACAGTCTTCGTTCGGTGCAAATATGTATTCCAAAGTTTTCCTGAAGTTAATTTGAAGCTTAAACAATCTGAGTTAGACCAATCAAGTTCATATCTTAGTTATAGGAGTATATATAAGTATACATAAGTGTAAAATTCCCTCTCACCACTTTCAGATCACCATTTTTGGTCGCAGCAGGCAGCTGTTTTCAGCAAAAAAGCT